CAGCAATTCGGAGGTGGGGAGGGGAGGGGTTTACATTTCCCGTGTTCAAGGGAGGCTTTCCCCTGTCTTCTAAACTAAGACACCCTGAAAAAGACTTGATTCCTGCTTCTCTGTGCTCCAAATACTTTCTTTCTGGAGTGTAGTTAGGGCATAGTATATATTTCCTTATACCAGACTATATGAGTGTTAAGAATTTAGAAATCGAAATATGGGATTGAACTTGTAATCATCCAGTCACTGAATTGGAATTTTGGACTGGCAAAGCTGTGCAGGCTGGAGAACAAAGACTTAGGAAAAAATATAATCTTGTGCTGGTGTCTCAGAACTGCAAGTAAGATCACTTGGGTAACTGCAGACTAAAATTCTGGTCAGATAAAAGTATGGAAATGATGTAAAACTCAGTCAAAAGAGAATAAAATTATAGTAGCATAATTAATACAAAGTGTAATGACTTCAAATAAAATGTTTCCTTAATATATTTTAAAGATATTATGGATTAATTATAGTAATTAATTGAGGTAGATTGCTTAAACTTGTAAGCTGATGTGGTTCTAGGTTTAGTGGGATTCTTAAGGCTTTCAGCTGTGTTGTCTGGAGATGATCAAAGCAGAGACCAGTTAGCAGTTCGATGTTGATGCAGTGCTAGAGTTTATTGTAAAGGAATTGTTCATTAAAACTGATTTTTTTTTTTTGTTTTCAGAATTTGATACCCCAATCCTAGATTTCAATGCAAGTAGAAATGCTTTCCAAAGTTGACAAAAACTGGGAACATTAACCCTTTGATTCTCAATTTGGTTTAATGCTTTTTATTTGAAGCTCCAATATAAAACAGTGCCTGGACTCTGCTGCAATAGCTTTAGGAAGGCTAAAGATTTGGTATTTGTCATATCATTCCCTGCATGGTCTCTCTGAAGTGATCCTTTCTGGTTTTCTTTTTATTGCTTCTTGAGGCATGTTTGGGGAAAAAACAGTTTTGTGTAAGAGGGGCAGAACAAACCTTGAATTTGACCCGGCAAAGGCTGTTTTGTCTATGGCGCAGCTTTGATCGTTCAACTGCTGTTATTGTAAAGCTTCCTGATATCTGCAAAAAATTGTTTAGACCTTCATAGGTATGACACTTTCATAACATTGATCTGTTGTTCCAGTAAACAATTTGGAAGCAGGATTTAGGGAGGTAATGTTTCTTTTGGAGTAGTCTATATTGACCCACTGCAAATTTTTTGTGAAGTGTCAGATCTGTTTGTTTATAATGTAGAGATTTTGGACTACATTCCAGGTTTTGAGTGAGCAGTTTCTTCTTAGGGCCACTATCCATTAGCTGACAACCAATTTAATAATAGACAGCTGCAACTTTAATAAAGTATTTTTTACAAAAAGTTGCCTGCTCAGCTTTTAAGTGGGAAGTTACTAGACAAATAGCAGTATATATTTGCCTTGGAATGTTGTTGAGAACATACTTTGGTATCAGGATAGTAGATAGCTAAATATTGTAGGATGTGCTCTTTTTTTATAGTCTTTTGCTGATCTTTACTTAATACAGTTACCACATTTCTTACAAAGGAGCCAGCCAAAATACTGTTGTATTTAATTTGAAATTTCAGACTTAAATTTTATTGCAACTGTTTGGTCAATTTTCTCCTCTGTGCAGTATTGCCTGATTTGTACTTTTTTTTTTTTTTGTCATTCAAGATATCATTGGTTTGGCTTGTATCTCAGGGCATTAATTTGTGTGTAGCAACGTGGAAGATTTTCATCTTCTGTTCCTGAGTGAAAAGGAAGCTTCTTGCTTGATGAAGTCCCAGACCTCAAACATAAATGCTTCTGGAGAGAATTTGAAAGGACCACAAGTAAATTTGTGATTTGCCTCCGGAAGCCTTTCTGAACAGGCCATTCCCTTCTGCTTATTCATTGATGTTGCTGTTATCTTTTGCTCATTTATCCCAGTGTCCTTACTGAGCAGCATAAATTCTTGAGGTGGTGGACTTTTGTTTATGACTTTATTGTGTATGGAAAATTTGAAAAATTATGAAGCTGATCTATTTGCCTGGTGTATTTTCTTTATGTTGAGAGTGCTCTACATACACAATTTACAGAGAGCTTAAGAGGCATCATAAGTATGTCTAATCCAAGGAATCAATGTTTATGTGAGAGTTTGTTACAGTGTTTTTTCTTTAAATGTAAATTTGCAAATCGTCTGTAGATTTTTTTTTATTATTATTTATTTTTTTAAGCATGCAACTTTGGTCATTTGTAAGCCAGTTTCCAAAAAATGCTTTCGTACTTGTTGAAAGTGTTGTTTATCCTTCCTACACTACATTCAAAGATAATGCATAATTATATACGATTATATACGATTGCTGATGAGAAAATAACAGTGAATAAACTGACAAGAAGCTGTTCCTTAAAAAAAAAAGCAGAAACGTGCTACTGGTATTTTTTTTAAATTCCAGTAGATGTGGACTAATGGCCCAATAAGTTTGGAAGAGGTCATTAATGCATCCATGACTGGTTTCATAGATATCAGTAATAGCGGAGGAGCTGGACAGGTCTGCAGAATGGTGAGGATAGTTAATGGGTTTTAATTTTTGTTTTACAGACTATTTACTTGAGATTGTTTTGTGTATGTTCTCTGTATGTTCCTCAAACATGGGGGCAACAAATTCTTTCTTCCCTTGAGGGATAATCCTCCAAAGCTGGCTTTGCACAGAGCATACTGTTTCTAGAAGCAGATGAAGAAGAAGAATTGAGGAAAGGGAGGGGTTTTGGATTTGGTCAGTGCTTAAATACTTCTAGTAAAGTGTGAGGGGAGGATAGCACATCAAATGTTTAGGTTTTTTTTCATTCCAGTTTTATATTAGCAGCAGAGAATTAATTTGGACCCATGAAGTCCTTTTTTCTTTGAACAAAATATCTGGAAAGCCATCGTGTCTGGTTATATGTTCGGAAACAGAAGTAATGTGGTGTTCCGTAATGCTAATGAAATCTTAGCAGCAAATGAGCGCTTTGTGGACTAAAGAGCCTAAGTAGGACAGCAAAGGCTTTGTTCTGCTGTGCACTGAAGGAAGTCAGTTCTTCTTAATGGCATTGAATGTTGGCTCCATGTCAGAGGTACCTTTTGGAAGCTTCTTTTGGTTGCCAGGTTAATGTGGTCAGAGTAATTTTGAAAGGGAATTGAATATAAAAATCTGCTTGAGATTGATGGTGCGATTTTATGCACATATGCAACAGTGGTTTGACACTACAGCATGGTAAGTATCTCCCTCCTGCATGCACAAACAACACCTGCGCGACTTTTCTAGAAATAGTAGCAGACGTGTCACTTTGTTTGACAAAAGATACTTGGTGTGGAAGTGTCCAGTTGGTATAAAGTGGGTGCAGGAGAACATTATGAGATACAGGCCATGGTTTCCCAAATATGTTAAAATCTTGTCTTTAGCCTTGCTCTTGTCTCTTGGCTGTTTTTACAGTTGTCTGGTGAAACAGATGAGAGAAAGTGGTGGCTTTCCTGGAGAGTGGTGCAGAGGCAGGAGCACATGGCTGGTGGTGGAACAGGATGTGTGCTGCTGGATTGAAATGTTAAAGGCACCAATGCCCGTGGTTTTTAGATCGTGGTCTAGGATACTACAAGCTGCAAGGCAGGATTTCAAAGCAACTTTAATCCCTTTATGTTTTTTTTATTTTTTCTTGTTGGCTTTATATAGCTGTGTTGTCTTAGTATCTCTTTCAGTGGATATATTTTCCTTTCCTGCAGCATTTTATGACATTTTTTAATTTAACTTCAGATCGTCCGATATGTTGAAATTGAACTTAAATTGCTGATACTAAAATCCAACATAATTTATTAGGTTCAGACAAGTTCCTGAATCTGCAAGACACAGCTTCTGGTAAATACCTGTCACCGTTTTTTGTGTATGTTAAATGAACTTTGCTTTAAAATGCTTTATTTTTTTTTCTTTTTTTTCCTTTTTAAAATTTACCATGAAGTGTGTTTGGATTCAGTATATACAGGACACAAACTTTGATGTTGCAGTTGTTTGTCTTTTTGGATTACTAAGTAACCGTTAAGAAAATTGTACTGTAAATGCTGTAGTAAGCTTAAAGTCCTCTATTTTTCCATGTAAAATACAAATATGTACTAGACTGAAGATATTTACTGGGCTGTATTATGTACCTTTATTCATTCTTGCTATTTCTGAACCACCAGTTTTCAATTTGTTGTTTTGAATTTTCTACTTGTCTTGATTAGTGTGTCCTTCACCTGTTGATCGCTACAGAATACAATGAAAGATTGGTTTGGAAGATGATTTAATGTATTAAAAATTCCCCAAATTTTTTTGGAAGTGTGCTTTGGTTTTGGCTGTTTCTCTTCTTTGTTTTGTGCCTTTGCATTGTCTCGATTTTTTTAATGGCTAAGGACAGGTTTACTTTCTTTGGAATCTCTTGTTAGAGCTGATCATGAACTGTGTATATAGATCTGCTTTAATAAATGTGCGTTATATGCAGACTACACCCAACTCAGTCATGCAGCTGTAATTTGTATTATTTTTCTTTCAGTGAGTAATGGTTAAGAGTGGAAGTAATTTTTGGTGTCAAATAAAACTACAACATCTTGTGTTCTTAGAACTGTCAAACACATCTATTTTGTGGAGCAGTTTCTTACTTACGTAATACTTATCCTTGGCTATGTCTTCGTTATCTTGGTGGAAAAGATGCACTTTTGAAATAAAGGATTTTTAGTGGAAGAAAAAGACACATTTGCATTGTGAGAGTGATCAAAGACTGCATGCAACTTAAAATGCAAGTATTTTGAGCTTTTTTTATAGAGATAGATAGATCTGTGACTGGTCTATATATAGACGTGGTGGTTTTTTAACTTGAATAGCTTCAAGAAGCAAGCATTCCCTCACAGGACAACTCACAAATAAATTACATGATGTTTCTGGAGCTGCTGTGATTCTTAACTAACTCTTGGGTATTTTTGTTTCGTTTTGTTTTTATAGGATCAGTTTGATAACCTGGACAAGCATACACAGTGGGGCATTGACTTCTTGGAGAAGTATGCAAAATTTGTAAAAGAAAGGATAGAAATTGAGCAAAACTATGCAAAACAACTGAGGTAAGGTTCTCTTTCTTTTTTTAAAAGAATCTTAGCAAGTACTTAGAATCAGTGTATCAGATGATTGGCAATTTTGTAATGTCATGATTAATGATCGTCTTTCATTTACAGAGTGACTTACATCACTAGTTCTTTTCGTGACAGACACTTTTTTCTTCACCAGTCCAAGCCAGAAAATTATCTTTGGGTGTGGGCTTACTTGTTTGCTTGGTTTTGCCTTTTTGCTCTCTTCCCACTCACCCTTCAAATCCAAACTAAAAAGTTTTAAGACTTAAATTTTAAGATTAAAACTACGTCAAAACCATAGTAATATTTTTCCACCGAGTGTCAGCATGTTTGTTGCAAAGCATACTGTCAATATCTTTGCTTTTGTGTGTGTGTTCAACCCACTTCAAGCCTCTGCTACTAATTAATTTCTCATGTTGAATTGGCAAGAGCTACACTATATTGTGTTAAGAAATCTGATTGAAGTCATCGAGTAGAACTTGAGAAAGCAGCAGATCTTCCTGTCCTTAAAGCACACCCTTTCCGTAACTGGTTTTGTCCCTTCTGGTGAGATTGTAACCAAACCACCCTTTGTCTTACCTCTGCAGTTTACTTTCTCTTGGTGCCAAGTGAAATATTTCGTAGGTCCAATAGGAATTTCCCCTCAGGGATAGTACAAGAAGCGTGGCAGCAATGAAATGGCAGAGAAGCACATTCTCCACAGTAAAGTAGGATTGATTTTTATAAAAAGGTTCACACAGCGCTCGAAGAACGAGATTTAAAATAAGGCCCTCCTGTGAACTTGGTCGTCAGCCATGATCTTTGCTATGTTGAATTCTTACTGGGATTCAGCCAAAGCTACTGCCTAGCCTCTGTCAGGCTGAAACTGATAGTTACTTCTCTCCTGTGGTGTCTTCTGTTGTCTCCTCATTGGTAAATGAGGTTGTCGTCAGATATAAAGAGGAATCCTTCCTCATGAATGCAGTAATGAGGTTCAGAGCTGAGGGTATGGACGTTCTCTGTCTAGGCTGCTCTTTTCCTTTTTGATTTATTAGTTTCTTTTGATCCAGTTTTGGATATTCACCTAACATAATACTCCATTACTTTGCTGAAGGAATTTTTTTCTTAAAAGGAAGGCAATAAATACCACTTTTCTAAAGCTGGCATAGAAGGAACTTCTGGAGGTAAAGGAGATTTGAAACATTGCAGCACCAGCTCACAGCCTAGTTTTGATTTGTTTTCAGTTGTCTAAAAATGGAAATATGGTTTATTTGCATGGATCTATCCAGCTCTTTTCCTTAAATAATATGGACAAATGCTGTTTTGCTTCATTATTTCTGAAGATTCGTTCCACAGCTGGCAAGATGAGACAAAACATTATTACTTCAGTAACAATGTTCATTATTACTACAACTAAAACCAGGAAATATCTCTGTTCAGCATTTTACTCTTGGGTAAAACTGTTGATTTTTCTCAAAGTATCTTTCAAAAATGAAAGAGTTATGTCGAGTACCCCTTCTGTCAGATGACTGGACTGACTGTCCATGTGCAGTAAGTATGACAGTTTTGGGAAGCACAAGTCTTGCTGCACACGTGTTGTACGGTGCATGGGTGCACTTCCTGCCTGCTGCCAATGAGGGTCTGGACAGCACACACATGAGAGGGTGACTGATTTTCTGCCAGTAGACCAGTTCCTGAAGCTACTCGTTGATATTCTTGCCTGCATATTCCCTGGGGGGAGAATTGGTTGTTAATATTGAACTGTCTTGTGATGACAACTTGATTTCAGCCATCCCTGCTCTGGAGGACACTCACTGTTTTTCACCTTGTAAAACAGTCATGAGGCCCCAGGGTAGATTGAGGTCAAGCAAAAGAGTTAGCCATCCTGAAGCTTGCTCCTGAGAAATTCTGAGAGAGATGGTCTTGGGAATGGACTGTGATTCTGGTGAATTTTAATGCTGGCAGCATTAATATGGCCTGTGAGATAGATAGTAATATATCTGAATAGAAATTTCTAGTTAATCATGATTTTTTCCTTTTGTAATGAAGTACAGTCTGAAAAATGGTGTTAAGAATCTCTTCATAATGAACTTTATAACTGAGATTTATTATGCCCTTGTTTAGTAGATGTGTAAACAATACAGTGAGTGATCACCTCTTGGTAGTTCTCTCATAGTACTTGGATGGGAGACCAATAAAAAGAGGTTTAATAAGGGAGAAAATGTTAGTAATGTTTGGTGGTATTTTTTTTCCATCTTGGCTTCGGTGTGGACCATGAGCATCCTTTTGAGGTTGTTGATGGGTCTTATTCTCGTAGATGTAAAACCAAGGGTGAAAGCTTGAGTGAATTTTTCATAACAATTTTCACAAATTGGAGTCTGTGTCCTGGCAGAAATTCATATTCACCTTGTGTATACCCTTGCATTTTGATAAATTACTTTTTTTTTTTTTTTTTTATGCCGTCACAGATTAGTGATGAGACTTTGCCAGGTGCAGCAGTTGTTGAGTCTTCTAGGAGATGGCAAGTGATGCATGTACAGCATATGACAAACTGTTTGAGTGGACTCACTGTATTATTGCTGTATGCAGTTACTTCAGTTTTTGGTCACTGAGTAATTCCAGCAACTTGTGAGAATCCTGTGCCAATGCTGATTTTCAGTTGCAAGTCATTCCTTGTTATTGTTCTTTGACAGGCAGTTCTTGATACTGACTAAAAGTATAGGAAAAATTGAAATTGTTGGGGAATCCTCTAATGTCTACAGAAGAAAAAAAACCTGTCTAGAAACCTTGTCTTGTTTTTGCAAACTATAATGTTGGCATTCTTGAGCTAACTTAAAAGAAGATCTTAAGCTTTTTGTAGCTTAGGTCTCAACTAATATTTTGTGGTGTCCCAGGGACTGTGAAGCTTATAGGTTCTTACTGAGTTACAAGGACGTAAATCAGGATGGACATACTGCAATGTACATTGTAGATTAACAGTTTTCATTTTGATTATATGACTGTTTAATTTGTTCTTATTTTATAATTGGAAGAAAATGGATTTAGTATGTGCCACATTACTGGGCTCCTGGCTGAATCTTGTAATTGAATTCTCAGATGCTGGTTTTGGTCAGCATTGTTGCTTGAAAGGGGTGAGGTGAAGGTCTGTTTTGTTTACTTCCACATCATCCCACAAAATAGTTCTGGAAGTTCACTCCCTTTTTGTTCTGTCTGAATCATTATGACACTTGAGTAAGTAAAGAAGTTCCAGTTCCTGTGATGTTAGGCAGTAATACAAGTTATACCTGCAGTTATAGATGAAGCTACCATGCAGAATAAGATTTTTGAATTTGGTCAGTTTCTCTAATGTCAGATTAAAGAAAATAGCGATGATTGTTCTTGAACTATTTGACATTGTATGTTGTGATCTCTGGAGAGGTGTACTTAACCTGAGCAAACGTGCTTTTCCTGTTCTTTCTGCGTGCCATTGTGTGTAGGAATTTTTTGGTTTTTTTTCTAAATACAGTATTAATATATGCATATCTAGTCAAATTCACGTAATTACTGCATTTTTATTTGCAGGATCTTGTAAACATTATTTAAAATGAGTGTAAGCTCGAATGTGAAGTTGGAGACACAAATTATCACCATATGTGTTCATTTCTCAAACGTCTCTTTATTGGAGTTGAGAATTTACACTGCTGATGATTCCAAATGTGGTGGATTTTTTTTATAGTGGTGTTTCTACGAGCCAAACTGTAACAAATCCTTAACAGTTCCAAGAATATTCGCCTTTGTAAACTCAAATTCCATGTTAGAATTTTTTAAGATTCATCTCTTCAGTTAAAACTTAGTCTGATGGCATGTTACTAAATACATTTCATTGCAATTGCTTTCACACAGTCCATAATACTGATATGCTATCACTGAAGCCATCAGAATTCTACTGAACGTATTACTATACATGTAAATATGAAATGCTTTTAAGTACTTACTGCATTTTTGTAGTAACTACGAAAGCAGACTTAAAACTTGGTTTCCAGGCTCATCTGTAGTACGATGTAGAGACTGTAGAGGTTTAGTATAAGCAGCCACCGCAGTACCTGAGTTACCTTAGTACAAATTCTGCCATATTGAAGCTGCTGCTCCTATTCTTTATGTTCTGTATTAAATGGCTGAAAAAACCCTTATTTTTGAGTTGATAAACATAATTTTTGTACGAATGCTTGTTAAATTTTATGTAGGTATGTTTTATGTAAATGACTATAAGTAACTTTAATTTATTAACTAGGTTGCTTTTTGTTCTGGCTGCAAGACTGAGGTCCTTATTCTCTTAAAAACAGTAATACAGTTAGGGCTGCTGTCTCACTGGTGTTGACCTGAGACCAATTTATACTGAGAAGAGAGGCTGATACAATTACAGGAGCAGCACAGTTGGATGTGGTGAGTCCTGTATGAAACCAGCTTCCAGGTGGCTGTAAGACAGTGAGGTAGAAGTCTAAATTATACTTCCAGAGAGGACTGAAGTGTCATCAGTCTGTACTTAAAGAGTATGGAGCAGTTTACCTCTTAGATCCAGTTCAGTTCTGATGGTCTGCAGTTACTTTTGCAGTTTTCTTCTAAAGTAATCTGTATCCTGAGGTTTAGACAAACGTTTAGATAAAAAGGGTAAATAATATTATGCCTCAACTGGCTCCTCTTTGAAATAATGCTTCACTCCTCAGATCTGCACTCATTAGCTGCTTGTCAACCTACATTTTTTCAAAAATTTAAATCTAATTTCTTTGGTTTATCTAAGTGTTCATGTTCACTTCTTGGAAAAGCCATTTATGTTTCATTGTTCACGTGAACACTGAATTTTTTTGGTACTGAATTCTGCATTTGTTTGTCATTTTGTATTTGCTGACTTTGAGTATTGTACCATGTGCTGTTATTGAACCTTAAATCCTGATCACACAGTGTTGCAAACTGTATGTTCCTGTGATCCTAAGGTAGACAAGATTGATTTACAAAACTGACTTTTATTAGGAGAAGATATTATATAATATTTTTCTTTTCCTAGAGATAGTAAACAGTTGGGCTAATAAATAAATAAATAATCTATACTTGTAACCCTTCTCTTATGCCAGTTTAAAATGTGTGGGTTTTAGTAAGTGCTTTCTTTTCTAATTTTTAACACTTTTGAAAATCTTCCCTTGAAAAGGCTCATGCATGGTTGCTTAGCTACAGCACTGTATACTTGTTACACATTTCACATTCTGAATGATAATGTCAATTTTAGGAGTTTCCCATTCATTAATAAGCACTGATGAGCAAAGCAGAAATGTAAGGGACAAGGAAACATGGGAAATAACTTAATGAAGATTTTTTTAAAATCTTTGACTTGAATTCATGCATTTTCCAGTCAAAGTGTTTGTGTTGAATCCCTACCAAGTACAGTGTGACGGCAGGCAGTGGATTTTAGTGAGAGTGACAATAGATTCTGGTTTTAACTTCATTGAGAAAGTTTATATAAAATTTGTAGATGCTTTTTAAAAAGTCAGGTTTTATTCTGTTTCTTAGTACATATTGATATAGAAAGGACTTGACTATCTTATTATGGATGTTCTTTCTAGTTGTAGTCCCTCAGGGCATGGAAAGAGAAAAAGGGTCTAAGCTTGCTATTTCCATGCTGAGTCGCTGCATACATTTTGGTAAATACTTCATGACTGAACACAATCTCACTACTTGTAGAGATAATGTGACTTCCAGATAAATTCATTTGAGCAATTACGCAAGGTTATTTTAGATGAAAGCGGGATTAGCACCTTTGCTTTATGACAAGGTAGTTCATAGTTTGTAACAACTGAAGCTGCACATGGAAAGTGGGAATGAGATACAGAACACCTGTGCAAGATTTTGTTTCATAGAATCTTCTCCTATTCCTCCTCTGCTTTTTTTCTGTGGCATTGAGGATATAGATTGCTTTATGCAGTTCACTTTGCTGCTTTTGGGGAAACTGGTTTGGGCTATATATTAATAATTAGTCTAAGATGTCAGTGGCCAGACAGGTGGAAGAATTATATCTGGAGGCCAGTTAAAAGACAACTGTTAAAGCAGCTCTGCTAGGTTTGCATTGTTTTGTATTCGATTTCTTCTTTGGATGTGTGTCTAAAATAGTTTCATTGGAAAAAATCATCCCTTTACATGATACAGAAGTTTGAATAAAGTCTACTTCATATGAGTTAAAAACCAGAAGCATTCTTTGCATAATCCAGATCCACCTCAAGAACATATTTTGAGAAGCTTTTGTGGCCAGATTCAAGGCACTCTTGTCTCTTGAACAAAATGATTCAGTTGTGTGCATGTGTTTTGGTGTTTAATTTTTTTTTTCTTATTTAGAGATGTATAGGGCAAAAAAATCCAGCACTGTCTTATTCTATTTGAGCGTTATAAAGCAAATAATTGACTTGCATAATTTTCTGCTGAGATGTTAATTCATACTTAAAAATACTACTTTGACATTTAAATGAGAGATGTAACAGGCAATCTGTTCCACAGTTTAAACATTACTAGCATGATTTTAATGAATTTTTTCTAATGTTTCAAAAATACAAGAATTTTTGTGAGCATGGACACTGATATTTAAATACTGGTCTGTGTGAGTACCAGATCTCTTTTTAAATATCGTTTGCTGCTTTAAAATTCCACAGCAACTGAGATGTTTTGTTTCTCTGACTTCAAAAGGTGCAAAGGTTGAGGTTAAGCAATTTGAGAAAAGCCCTATGTATTACCTGTTGGGTTGTTTCTTTCCATACAAAAAAGGATCATTTATTTGCTGTAACATGACAAGCTCTCACAAGTAAAGGAAAAGAACTGTAGTAGAGTTATAATTTTGCTGTTCCATGGAAAAAATTATGATTTTGGAAATTGTTAGAATAAAAAATGCAACCAATTGACAGTATGAACATCTGAAGGAAATAATGGATTGGGTTTTTTTTTCAAGGCTAAGAACATGTATTCTTGAAAATTTCAAGAATTTTAAAAGACTTCATTGCTGTCAGAATAATATTGTAAGTCAAGGCAGAATGCTGTGCTGTAAAAAATGTATACTCTGCAGTTTAAAGTGAAGGCTGACGTACAGGAAGATAAGAACTTGAAAAATCACTGGACATTCTCTCCTCTTATCCCTTCTGTCTGTAAAATTGCATGGCTTCATTTCATATTCATCACGGTATTTGGGATATTTGTATCAATATATGTAATGGCAAATATTTTGCAGTTGTTTGTGGAAGCAGTGTGTGCCTCTGTTGTTTATGCTCTAGGGTAGAGCAGGTGATGTTGTTTGTATGTTCCTTAAGGTGCCAACTCTGCTGTATGTGATAAGCGAATGAGTTCGTAACAGTGTTCCCAGAAACTGGACTATGAATCTCTGTGTCCTGCTCCTGTGGATTGTTGTCTAGAGATTTTCTTGGTGTCTTAAAAACCTGGTATTTATAGCACTGGTGGTAGGACAAAATGTATAAAGAGATGTTGCCTCTTCTGTTCTGGAAATACCCTTATTGAAGATTCGGAGATGCTGTGGTTAAAACCTTCAGTCTGAATGTACAGTCAAAGCTTAATTCAGGCATGGAGCTCTGTGTTGATGACTGTAGCATACAATGTGCACTATCTGTATGTTACACAGTGATCATATATTTGGTTTTTTTTCTTGTCTGCTAGCTTATTTTGCATGTATGAAAAGGATGTTAAAGAACTCATTTTTGTTGTCTAGTCACTGCATAGAGATTTTAATATACTTCTAAATACATTGTCCTAGGTCAAAGTGACAAAACCTGGAAAATGTCATAGGTCTCTGCCTTGTGTTATCTAAAGAACCCTTGTAAGATGGCAGAGGAAATAGTGTTGTTCCTTGAAATCATTAAAAAGAAGTAATTTGTTTGTGCAGCTTTCTGTATGTATGTCTTTTGTTCTCAAAAGAGACTCTAAAATACATTTTTTTTTCATTCTTCTTTAATAGAAATCTGGTGAAGAAGTACTGTCCTAAACGTTCACCCAAAGATGAAGAACCCAGGTAAAAACATGCATTTCAAGTTCTATGTATAAGAAACATGGACTACAGTATACTCTGTCCTTTTATGGACTGTTGTGGTTTTTTTCTTTAATATGAAATATTTAATTGGCTGAGATAACAAAATAATTATGCTTGGCTTCTTACGTTCTGCTATATTTCTTAAGCATGAGACCTGAGTTTACTTCTGTTAGTATTCTAAAGTAGTAAACACGGCAGGTTGTATTTGCTCCATTCCAAATTAATCTTTAGCTAGCTGAAAATTTAAAAGCAGAAGTTTAGTATGCTTTGTGTAGTCTAGTATTATTTTTTATAGAAAATGTCCTTACGCTGTTTTTGCTTAGCTTGGAGTTTTTCAGTGCTTTTGTATGGCAATATTAATGTAGCTATACATGTGTGTAGTGAGACCTGACTGTACATAACATTGTCATGTTTTTGGCAAGAAGAGCTCTTAAACTTTGACTTGTTTTGACTCCAGAGACAAAATAAGAGATTGTCTGACTGTGGAGAAGCAATTTGTGCTATAGAACGTTACGATTATTTATCAGAGACGCACTTGTTTTGCTGTCCATGTCCATAGCTATTTTTTGATTTATTTAGAAAAACACAATACTTTTTTGCTTTAGGGATACCTCTTATTAAGGAAAGAAAGTGGACAAGTTTCAGGGTGCAGCCAGAGCACATGCTGTGCACAGCGTGCCTGAGAATTCACACTGGGATTTCCTCTAGCTCTTTTGACTATTTAAAGATCCTGGACCCCAGGGAATGGGATTTCTAGTGCTAGGGCAGCGTTTGAATTCCCCAGAGACAAGCCTATGGAGATGGCAGTATTCCACAGTTAAAAGAGAGAAAGATGTATATTTTAATGTGGTGCCTGTTTCTTTTCTCCTTTCTTCCCTTCCACACACACTTTCTCCCCTTTGCCCCTCCTCTTCCCCCCTTTTTAGTGCCAGCCATAGTGGCACCTTACTTCCAGCCAAGAGGTGGGCAGGCAAACAGGCAGCTGTCTCCAGAGCTGACAGCACACTTGTTCTGTAGATCATCTATCGGGATGCATGGGAGTGGTACGATTGGCATGTCCCACCCTCAAGACTACCAAGCACATCATCTCTGCAGCAAGTTCAGCCTCCGAGCCTAGGGACGTATGTATCCGTTCCCAAGCTCAGGCCTCTCACTTGGCAGCTTAGGAGATACCACTATACTACAGGGCTTTCCAGGTAGTATCTTCTTCTTTCTTTTCCATCCGCAAAAATCCATATTCTTATAAAATGTGTTTGAAGAGACATTGCAACGTATAGTACGTGCTAGGCATAACGTAGGCTTTCCCAACTTGCATTTCTACTGTGATTCAACTAGCATTAAGATAAGGTTTATTGTGAAATATTCATGATTTTCCTGTTGCTGTTTAATCAAGAGTGCAGATTATACTAAAGGAAGTCCATTTGAAAAAACCCATCTCACTTCTTGTGCATGTGTGTTTGTGTGTGTGTGCTCTCTGTCAGGTTTACTTCATGCATCGCCTTTTTTAACATCCTTAATGAGTTGAATGACTACGCAGGACAACGAGAAGTAGTTGCAGAAGAAATGGGACACAGAGTGTATGGAGAATTGATGAGATATTCTCATGATCTAAAAACTGAGAGAAAAATGGTAATTTCTGTGTTCTGATTTCATAACAGAATATCAAAATAGGGATGTCTTAATGAATTGATGTATTTGTTTACCTAATTTAATGAACTTGACAATAAGTAGGTTTTGTAATACATTTGTAAAACGTATTTGAAGTTATTCTGTATTTTTATGTACTGCTTTACTATGGTTATTAAACCTAAAAATTAAGATCTTGGGACATAGTGCTTACTAGTAACATTTTTGCCAGTGATCTTACGTGATTGGTAATGCCTTCCAAAAAGTACTGGTAACTTTGTGAGATGCTGCACATCAGTGTGTCAGCTAGAGCAGGGTCTAACTTACGGTAATAGTACTGAAGAGATAAGTAAATTAAACTTATTTGTGGTGTTTTTAGCATCTTCAGGAGGGGCGAAAGGCGCAACAGTATCTGGATATGTGCTGGAAGCAGATGGATAACGTGAGTTTGTGGGTTTTTGTGTTGGTGTGGGTTTTTCTCCCCCCACCTGTTAATAATATACAGTCTGTAAATGGAAGTGTTGTCATGTGTCTTTCTTAGACTTTAATGTTTACCTATATTACTGAATGTCCACATCAGACCTGGTAACATCCAAAAGTCAGTTCAATGTATGTATAGTTCCCTGTTTAGAAGAAAACCTCCTCTGTCAACAGCTTCTGAGTGTATGTTTGAGTGAAGCCTTGGCTTTCATCCAGCTTAAAGGAAGCTGGTTTTAACATGAGTGCAGATGACTTCGGTTGCTTATCCACAGGCCACATTTTTGTGTAGAGAGTAATTAATGACAGTTTATTTACATGAAGATGAAATCTTAAGTCACTGTATTTGACTTGTTTGAGGGCATGTTACATGAGGCCTATTCAAGAGGACCGCTATAGACTGTTTGGCTGTCAGGGACAGAATTGCTTTTTAACAGACAAATGCAGGAAGTGAATGTCTCTAGAACGTTACAAGCTCCTTTTAAAGATGAGAACATATGAAATGCAACTAAGTGTGTTCAAGATGCATTCTGATATTCTGCTGGTTTTGTGTCTTAGAAATGTATCTTTGATCCAAAATATTGTGAAAGCAGTACTAGAGATATGAATTTTTGTTTTGTTGTTGAGGATCCAGATGAGGAATGTTTTGCTTCAGTGTGTCAAAGAGATCTGGTTCATGGTCAGAGATGTAGTACTTCTAGATGCTGTCACTCTTCACCAAGATAATTCCCAGAGTAGTTCTCAAGCAGTCACTTGTTTTGTGTGCACTCTATTTATTTACTTGGGTGTTAAGTCAGATTTTTAAATGCACGTGGCCTTTAAGGGACGCATTAACCTCAACTGCCTGACTTGGCAGTGCAGTAGGAGAGCAGTGCTCACACAGTCTCCGTTGCAAGTTTGTCTCTAGAGATACTGACTTCTCGAGCTGAAACAATTTTTCGTACAGCAGTTGTCTCAACAACAGTGGGATGTATTGAACGTTAAGTACATGGAATACTATTCGTGCTGCTTACAGCTACACAGGTTGATATGAGTACTGGTGATAATGGATGGGTATGCAAAAATTTCATAATGTAGATAAATCCTTCAGACTACCTTCAGAATAAAATAGTTGAATATATTCAATTAAAATCGATAGCTGAAGAAGACAACTTGAACATTTTATTCATAGAAGTCCAGTTTTTCTGCCCCTTAAGTTTTATTCAGGTATTGGAGTCAGAGCAGAAATTGGACTTGGCTCTTTATAACTAGATGTGGATCTTTGTAACGGGTTGGTTTGTATTTTGATTATCTGATATTTTGTAGCACAATTATAGTTTTTTCCTTGCTAGTACTTCAAGGAAATAAGTTCTAAATAGAAAAGTTGAAAACTTTTGAGACTGGGTTCCTGTCAGAACAATGTATTTACATAAAGATACTTAGCAAATTTAAGATACTTAAATGGAAGCTTCGGTATACCTCAGTCCGTTAGAGCGTGGTACTGATAACGCCAAGGTTGCGGGTTCGATCCCTGTTTGGTCCCCATGTGTTGCCTGATCTAGTTGAGAGGCGTCCCTGCCCATGACAGGGAGGTTGGATCAAATGATCTCTAAGGTCCCTTCCAGCCTAGGCCATTCTATGATTCTATGATATTTAGAATACAAAATTACTGTACAAAACCTAAAGGGGATAGTGGCTGTTGAAGCATTAAGTTTGTGGCTTTTGTAGAGCAAAAAGAAATTTGAGAGAGAATGCAGAGAGGCAGAGAAGGCACAGCAAAGCTACGAAAGGCTAGACAACGACACTAATGCGACAAAGGCTGATGTTGAGAAGGTAAGAGCAGTGCTATTTCTTTGTTTACTTTTTATTATTAAAAAATACTAAATTTGCATGTTTATAGTCAGAGCTGGAACAACATTCTTTTAATTGTATGAAATTGTGTATAAAATATGCTTGCTTATGTGTGAAGAGTTACTCTAAAATACGTAAGTCATCACAGAGAGGGGGTAAGCTTCATTAGTCTCGAGATGGTGCCGTTGAGACAATGACTATGCTCCTCAAACAGACCGGTATTTGGTATCTTGTGGTGTGTGTGTTCAGTCAGTTCTGTGGTAATTTTAGGATGTACATTTAAGTGACATGACTAAGGGAACCAAAGTGGTCATTGCTCTCTCTGTATATAACAAATTAGGACTGTCAGTATATATGAAGTCTCACATTCTTTTTATTTCAATTTTAAGGATGTTAGTTTGATGACTTGTGGTTAATGTTCTTGCATAGTTGGTAAAATAAAATAATGCTCTATGTCATTGAAAAGCACAAGACATGTTTGAACTGATAACATTTTCCTCCTAGGCTAAGCAACAATTAAATCTGCGCACACATATGGCAGATGAAAACAAAAATGAATATGCTGCACAACTACAGAATTTTAATGGAGAACAGCACAAACACTACTACATTGTAATTCCTCAGATTTATAAGGTAAAATAAGTAACAGAGAAATTATGTCTGATCTTCAAAGGAAGAAGTATATTTTAAAGTGTAAAACTTTATTTTGGCTATTTTAGTGGATAATTGTATTAAGAAATGAGCATAATCTTGATGCTACTGGTGTTTTAACCTGAGATTTACTGCTTACGGTAATTATGCATAGACTTACAATGAAAATAATAAGTTGTGTTTTCTATGAAGATTTTATATTTTGTAGACTCTGTTTATTGCTGAAGAGTTACGGCAAAATAAACTTTTGAGATATCTATGTGAGAGCAAACATTTAAAACAATCATTCTGCTAAGGTTGGATTACTAGTTCTCTTGGTATTTGTGTGTGAACACTTTGACTCTGGCAGAGATGAAGGAAGGCATATAGCTAAAGGTGACTGTGACTGTATCTCTTGTACCGGTGTAAAATGGGTGCATTGGAGGCAGAAATATTCCCCTCTTCCCAGTTGGTCACTGCTTCATCAATATTACCAGCAATCCACGGAATTCTCTAAAATTGTAAAAAATGTTAGAGGCCAAATAAGATCAGTACTTTGCATCTAAAAGGGGTATCTCTCCAGGTGCTTCATGCAACTGTTAAGATTTTTTTTTTTTAAGTTTCTTTTGAAAAACAGACTTTGTAGAACTAGTTGAAAGTAAAGTAGTTGGGGGGTGTCAGGTGAGGGAGAGTTCAGAAGCGTGTTGGCATGTTCATTCACCCATTTGGGAGAATACTGTGACTAGAAACTGATTCTGAGACATGGAGCGAGGAGATGGAAAGTGAAAATACTGCCATTAATTTGAAGGTGTACCAACTTAAGAATGCTTGGTATTTTCTGGAAGCAGGAAGGAGTTAAATTTTTTTTTTTAAAAAAAATATTAATTAGAAGGCTTGGGATTCACAGGATAAAGTTGCCTTGGCTTATTAAAGAATTTTCTGGTGTTTTAGCTGTTGAGCAAGTAGATCTGACATTAGCACGCTGATGGAGGAATCACAGTCAGCTCCCAGGAGAAGCAGTTTGATCATCTTTGTTTGTAGCTTGGACCAGAATTGTGGTTTATTATTGCCTTTATTTCTCTAGGGCTAAAATCCATTATCACTGCAATATATTACTTAGGTTTTTTGAAATCTCCAGTAAGAGCAGAAAGTCCTTCTCTTGTTGCTACATTTTTATTATTCCTTGCAAGCTTTTAGTAACATTCTATGGGAAAACCTTGGGAGAGGGATTTGGCACAACTAGGTTGTTGCTTTGTATCAGAGAGATGAAATTGGATGCTGTTCAAGGTATCTGCCTTTGTTAGATCCAACTTCTCATCCTGTTTCTGATAACCTTTTGATGTATGTACTATTGCTATTTGTTTTGGTTTGGGGTTTTTTTCCCCCACCTTCGGTTAGGTGAAAGGTCTAGGGCTTATTATCTTAATAATATTTCTTAGTTCCTTTTTGCCATGTTCCAGTAGACTTTTATTACAAACGTTATATAATGGTATTATTCTCTTTATTTTCTTGCACACTTCTAAAGGAAATGGTTTGTATTTCAAATCAGCGAGCATGTCTAAACAGGATATGATTTTAATATTTCTGATTTTTCCAGATTTTTTTAATGGCTGGTATTTGTTGGAAAGCATAAAAATCAAGATGAATAATTACTTGGAACTAGAAGGAGATTTGAGGAGATATAGAAATTCATAGAATTTCTTTACTGTAGTTTTCATTTTTTACCTGAAACAAATACTTAAAACTAAATAGGTGGCTGTAGACACTACATGTGCTTTAAAAAATCAGAGAGTATCAGCTCTTTGTAATTACTGTTCTGAGCATCTTAAGTCTATGTCCGAAAGAACTCGATTTTTTAACTTAATTATGTACTGTTTTATTAAGCAAATAAAAATACTGAGAAAGCACAAAAATTGTGTACTACACTGTGGCGACGACAGTTACTGCATACATCAGTATCGGAAAAAATACGCAAATAAAGACTTTATTTTATCTCACTTTGTGCTTGCAGCAACTTCAAGAAATGGATGAAAGAAGGACTATCAAGCTTAGCGAATGTTACAAAGGCTTTGCTGACTCTGAGCGCAAGGTTATTCCGATTATCTCTAAATGTTTAGAAGGGATGATCCTTGCTGCAAAATCAGTTGATGAACATAGAGTAAGTAGAATCGAGTGACGTTTTGAATGTGCACGAACAATTGAACTGATAATGAGAGCTGTGGAGAGGGGAAAGACTGTCTTAGCTCTTTCTGCTGTCAAATGTTTATCTGCTTGAAAATTGTTTTGACTTCAGCTGTAGCCTAAACGGTCACTTCCACTTTCTGTTTGTTCTTTTCCCGTTCTCTTGCTTTCTTGTGGTGTGAAGATCTTTGCTTTCTCACTGTATGTGATCTTGGACACATTGTTTTAATTACTCTGGTTACTGTGAAACATCCTAGAATACCACCATGGTTGGTATTTTCTCCAGTACGTGTAGCATTATAACATGTAACGGGTGTTTGGTTAGCAAAGTATCATTCTGGGTCCTGTTTGATTGCAGCTGTCAGGCACTTCTTTCTTATTCCTTCTAATACAGCTTCTTCCCTGTTATATCTTACTACATCCAGTTTCATTTCAGTGCTAATGTTGAAGGATTAGAAGGTGTTTGGCCCTAAAGCATGTCCTCTTCTAGATTTGTGGTAACTCTAGGGGAATATTTGCTGAAGTCTAAGTAGCAGGGTCTGCTTTGATTTACACTCACGCTAACACTGCTGAGAAAAAAGAATGTACGTTACCTTAACTCGAGCTGTCCAAAAGCATGCATATTGAGTTCTCTCGCTTTCCCATCTGTGCGTCTCCGCAATTAAATATAGAGTTTATGTCTCCGTGTTTTTCTCACTCTAATTCTTGATCGGTCTGTTTGTTTTGCTTTCTGAACTCCTTAATGTCCTATGTTTAGGACTCTCAACTAGTGATAGACTGCTTCAAATCTGGTTTTGAACCTCCTGGAGATTTTCCATTTGAAGATTACAGTCAGAATATTTACAGAACTATCTCTGATGGAACCATCAGTACACCAAAGCAGGAAGGAATGAGAATTGATTCAAAAACTACAGTGGGCAAGGCTAAAGGAAAGCTCTGGCTATTTGGAAAGAAGCCAAAGGTAACAATTAAGAAATTACTATTTGGAAAATTAAAATGTAAACATCTAGAGTGCATGGAAGCAGCAATTTATTTAAAAATAAATAATAACCTTCCCCTTGCCTTCCATTGCCTTTTAAAATGTGTGTAAGGAGATCTGAAGGTTTGAGTAGAATTGGATACTTAGCATATTAAAAATCAAGTTCTTGCTGGGGGGGAAGATTTATGTCTGGGAATGTTTTTAAGTTTTTTGATTTCTGTTACTGGTAAAAGTAGCTTCCCATTTCTGTAATGTTTCTAAGTTTCCGTAAAGACTTTCTGCAGTTGCATAGAAAAGGTGTTAGTTGTGAGCATAAAAATAAGGGGAGGAGAAATATGCTTTGGAATTGGATGGACTTCAGATCTCTCTTCTGTACTAAAAAAAATAATCCCCTTCTAAATGTCACATTCTATAGACGTTTAGATGTAGGACTGTTACACAGATTTTTATTATACCTGCTGCTAGTTTTGAAAACTTCTGAGGTCTATCTGAAAACATTAACGTTTATAACACCTTATTGATAAAACACACACTGTTGAAACTCTGTACAGGTAAATATTCCAGAAGATGCACTACTGTGATATGGGTAAAAACATTCCGATGTTCCAGAACAATTGAAAGCAGAGAAACTAGGCCTTTCTTTTACTATTATATAAATTTTGATTAACGCTTTCTGTGCAAGATGCCTTCATGGGTCAACGAAAAGTATTATTAATACAGAGATTTAATTATATAAATGAATAATGAAGCATATAAATATTTAAATTTTATGCTAGGCCTTTATTTAATTTTGGAGAATATCAGTGAGTGATTTTAATGATTGCCACAAATTTCAGTGATGCTATTTTAATGCTCCAAGTCAGTTTCTGCCATTTACCATAGGAAACTATTCTTAGAGCTTGTTAGTGGTAGGATTTATTTTCCATTTGATGTATTCCAAGAAAGCAGATCTTTACAGAAAGAGGATAATAGCCGATTCTTTATTCCCACCTCACCGCAGCTGTGTGTTCAAATGAAAACTGGTTGTTTCCTTTTCATGCAGTGTACTTAATGATTGGTAATAGTTGAAATGCATCAATGCATTACCATATTTAGTGCATTTGGCTGCAGAGGTGGGTGAGATTCATCCTGTTCTGAAATTAGATCGTGATTACCAGTTTGACAACGAGACACCTTTCTAAGAATTTTGGAGAGGGAAGCTGTGAAAATTTGCACTGGTTTTCAGTCAGGACCTTGGTGTTTACTGCAGTTCTAAGAAATTCCCTAGTATGGTGACAGCTGAATAAAACCAACTGAAGTTTCCCTACTGTTTCTTCTCCCTGCTTTGTTCACTTTGTACGTAGCATTCAGAGTCAGCCTTGCTGTTTCCTGTATAGAATTGGAGATACACGTACTTGTATGCATACTCGGATACGTACTACATGTATTGCTTCTGTAAGAACCTGGGGCACATGGAAAATGATATCCCTTTCATTCACCTGCTTTTTGGGGGGGATGGAGGAGTGCTCTACTGAACAGCAGCTGTGAGAAAAATGCTTATTAGGAAATACATATTTAATTCAAAATACTATTTATAGGTTTTAAAAGATATTTTTAATTTAACTGATACTAAAATACGCTCATTTATTGTAGCTGGCGTATTCATGGTGGCCTTTGGTCTTGACTTCCAAATACGCACTTACCTATTTTTGATATTGTCAAAGACAAAAAGTCTTTTGGAAAGGGAGTGAGCTGTGCAGCAGAGAAAATAGTACAGAAAAATTGAACTGGAAAAAAAGCAGCAGAGAGACAAAATTGAGAGAAGCAATTTGAAAAAAGGGGAGGAAGAAAGTGGAGGAAGTTCTCGTGATGACATTAAAAATGCCACGCAGCCTGTTGACTATGCCTTAACTACAGATCTACAGTCCTCCTTGACTACAGATCTCGAGTATAGACTTTTTGGTTTAGTCATTCTCCACAGACGTGCCTTATTCCTGTTTTAGCTTACTGGGCAGGGCACATCAAAACTTACGAAGCGTCAGTAAGTGGGAATGCACAAGCTTCCAGAATGGCTGTAACTGAAATTGGGAAAAGCAGAACTTGCTGCTTTGAGAAGAGAGACAGGGAGTGTCGGGATCTTGTTCAGATCCTTGTGGTAGTGTTGATTCTAAAGCTTTCTCTGAATGTTCTTTCATTCTCTACACCAACCTGAAGATTGATTAATGACCAAAACCTTTTAAAACCAATAGAGTTCTAGTGTAAATGTGTCTAGAATATTACAAGCTGTTTCTGTGTTGGATGGAAATTTTATTTTTGTAAGAGAAAACTTTCATTTTAAAATCACTTTGAACATTTGGCTTATTTATTGCTTTCTTTATTTCCACATTAGCCACAATCCCCACCCCTAACCCCTACTAGTTTATACACATCCAGTACTCCTAATGGGTCCCAGTATCCCATATTCTCCATTGAACCAGTGCATTATTGCATGAGTGACATAAAAACAGGGAAGCCCAGAATTCCTTCTTTCAGAAGCCTCAAAAGAGGGGTAAGTTTGATAACAAGTTGAAATGCATGATGGGCTATGAACAGTGTGTTTGTGATGTGGCTTTTCTAATGCTCCTCACCCTCATTATAAGGCTTACTTTGTTAAAAGTAATACTTCAGCTACAAGGTCACTTCTAGTGTGCTTTGTTTCACATTCTATAGAAGTTACCAACAGGTTGATGATAAAATAAAATAGAAATATTCTTTATCACATTCTGAATGCTTGCGCCTAAAAGAAGGGTGTTATAAAGAGGGTGCTCAGCATGTGTTTGATACCTTTCTTCATTGTTGTTCACATTCACAAATGTTTTCCTCCCACCATGTAATACATTTTTGCAGTAATTTATCATGAGTATATGTATATAGTTACCACAAAAAACTTGACTGATCAGATGTCTTATTTGCTGACTTTTAATTGAAGTAATAGTAGTTGACTACAAAACACTGAACTAAGAAGGGAGAAATTTCTTTTGTTTTTTTGACACATGGTTCTTGCAGGTTGTACTGATTTTTTTAAACATACAGTTTTAATGCATTTTCTGATTAATAAATTGTTCTTGTTTGTCCAAAGTTCTTTTATGTAATATTGTTGAAAAATTACTACCAAATGCCACCTTCTGAGATCTGTCAATTTGGTTACTAATTTATAATGGCACGTAGCATTTGTTTGGAAGACAATAAAAGGGAAATGTTAAGTGGTTTCCTAGCAGCACTTATAGTACTAGTGATAAATGTACTGACACTTTCCTGTTAATGTTAGTGAAGCATAGATTGCCCAGTTTATCTGTGTTTTATGATATTTATTGATCTAAGTAATGAGATAATTGGATGGATTTGTTTATCTATAAAATTCATTATTTTTTGATATTTGAAAACAATACAGACTTGCACTCTCACGTGCATCAAAATTGGTTGACTACTGTTGATACAATGTGGAGATCAAAGTACAGCAGTGTTAGATTGCAGTAAAGTTATGATTTAGAGGCTCTTTTGCTGTCATTCTGAAATACAATGAGTTACATTTAAAACTTCCTTTCTTTAAGTTGTGTTGTGACATTTTATTTCAGGCCCCTGAAATCTGGGTTAACTCAAATATCCCACAATAAATAGTTAATATTTAATCTCTATAAATCCTCAGGATGAACAAGTAATTTTTATGTTTTTTACATATTTTGAAATTCTTTGGAGGCTTTTTAACAGACATCACTTTACCACATACTGAGTGCCTTTTCAACTTAAATGTATACTGTGATTCTAATAGATAGACTTTTTTATCTCACTGGTCTTTCTTACCTTTATAGTATATCTTGATTCAGTGCTGAGTTGTTGCTAGTGCACGATGCTGTTTTCCAGTTTTATCTCTGGAAAATGCTGTCCAAGTGGTATTGACAGTAGCACTACCAAACTGTATTTAATTTGCTTCTGCTTCTTCCAAGATTTTAACGCACTGGTGATTTGGTTTAACCTGCCCTGCACAAGGTTTCACTCAAGGCACTGAGGATCACAAAACCAGATTGTCCTCGGTCTGTGCTTCAGGCATCAGATTTTCCTATCATGATGTGTAGCAAAAGCAGCAAACAGTAGCTGTAGGTTATTGAAAAAAGTCTGTAAGTGTTAAGAAAGTGTAACTTAATTAGTAATGCTGTTACGTGCTGCTTACTACCCTTTGAAATCTTGACATTTCCAGATAGTGCTAGTGCTTACGAGAGGTCTTTACTTAGTGCCACTTGATGTGTCCTCACCAGTGATAGATAAATTTTACTTGTGTTTTCTAAGGGAAAAAAAGAGGTTTCTTCTCTAGCTATTACACATCTTTGGACTTTACCTCCTTGCTAGAAATTCTAATTTTGTATATGTGCCCCCATCAACAGCCTTAACAATAATGGAAGGTCATAAATGAGGTCAAAGATGAATATCATCTAAGTTGCTTATCCCTTCTCTGGAAAGGGTTATGCAAAGTCACTGAAAGTACGGTAGGCCTTCAGAATGCTGTGAATCTTAAATCCAGATATGACACTTGGCATCCCATGTTTCAGTTCCTTACTCTGAGGATCAAGTCTTTACTCTTTAAATGTCTTCATTTTTAACTGGACTTAAACACCTCTAGGATAGCAGCAATGGCCTAAATGCTATTTTCAGGAAGTAAAATTACTAAGTTTTAAACTTGAAAAGTATCTTTGTTTATTATAGTTTTACTGTGATAATAAAGTAAATACATTGTAAAAATTATGTTTGTAAAAGTGATAATAGTGGTGTTTGCTATAATTAACAAATTATTTGCATATGGCTGACCCGTCCTTCATTATCATCAAATTCTGCTATTTTGTGCAGTGTTGGCTGTGTGTTTGTTTCTTCCTCTACAGTAGAAGTTCTTTAGCGTATTATTCAAGACACTAAAATTCAAAAGTAGTTTAATGAATTTGTGTATTAGAATTTCATGTTAAACTACCCATTATCTCCCCGTAATTTTTAAATGCATAAGTCTTAAAGCAGAAGTGCATTTCTGATTATTGTATTTTGCTTTTCTTGTGCTCACTGTAAAATGTAATGATTATAAATTCGAATTTAATCCTTAAGTAATACTTTAAAGATACATTTTTAGGCATTAATCATTTTTGTAACTGATCGTTGCATGTGAATAATTTCCCGTTTCTTTCTGTTTTCAAATGAACTGTGCAGTGGTCGGTGAAGATGGTAAGCCCACGTGCTGATCTGTCTGCTGTACTTCTGCTAAGATAGCATGACAATAATCTTTTGAAAGTGTTTCCATATCATAACTGCTTTAAGTCAGGTGCTGAAATACATCTTTGGATTTTCCACTCATATACACAGTCTTCTTAATCATCCATGCTTAATGTAAGATAATTAGACTTGTGATCTGACTGCATTTAAATCCATGGTCTTGGAATTTTAAGGTTGACCAGTATACTCATGAGTTGGTCATGATGGAAATACTTGGTGAGTTCTCTTTGTCAGAAAAAAATAGCAGCATAAAATAGTTACATGAAGAGATTCAAAACTTGTGTAAGTGAGAAATACTGAATACTGCAAAATTCACTCCTTTGAATGTAACCAAAAATTGGCAGGGGAGAGATGATCCTTTATGCTTAGGAACAGTAGAAAGCCGTTACATTAAATTAAAACCACATTTAAACCAATACTGTTGTTTCACAAAGTAAATCAGTAGGAATGCACAGAAAGACCTCTGTTGTTCTGATTATTGCTGTAGGATACTCTGGTTTTAACTGACCTGTCAGGAAGAATGATACAGAGGATGTGGTTGTCTTTTTATTTCTTTGTAGTGTGTAAAAGCACTTGAAACTATTTTAATGATTTTTTTTTTTTCCTCCAGAAAGAAACACTTCTGCTTTATTTTGGAAACATCATAACTTGATTTTTTTACTTTTGTGGTGTCTTGTATTCCCTTCTTAAAAAGCAGTGAGATTCTAATTTTACAAGTGCTAAAGAATCAAGATGTTGAGGGCGAGAAGGTCTTATGAGGGATTATTAGAAATTTGGCACCTGAGCCTACGGCAGCTTTTGTGTCAAAATCTCCACTGTCAAGTTTCTGTCAAATTTCTTGACAAAAGCAATGCTGTCCAGTTTGGTTTGCCTCCATGGAGAGTTACTGTAATGGAAAGGGGTTTCAAAAAGTTTGGAAAGTATGAGGGGTTTTTTTCCCTCCTTGAAACATTATTTTTATAACTAAAAAGGTGACTTTGAATATTTGAGCAAGTTTTTTTTCAGATTAACAAATTCAAGTCATAATTTTGATGTTAATAAAGGCTTTTTCTCTGCTCTGTGAACTAGTTTTACTTGAGGTAAAAATGCATCCGAACTTTGTAAGTTTTAGTATGTTTTCTAATTGCTGAACTTTCCGAAGAAACCTATGGTAATACTTTGGAATGAAGACACAAAATACAGTATTTTTCTTCTGATAGCCTCCACATTGCGATAGAATACACACTCCAGAGAAAGAATAAATTTTATACATATTATTGTCTTATGCACATCTTAGATTTTTATTCCATCTGAAATTAATCTGTAGTAATTAAGTCCGTCCTTTCTAAATCTGCTTTAATTGAAGTGGATGGAATAGGAGGTACTGGCTCAGCTTTTAAGAAAAATAATTAAGTCTGCAAATTTCGAATTGCATCTGTGAGCCAACCGTCACAGAAGGATCTTTGAATAATGAATCACTGTGATCTGGCAGCAAGAGTGTGCATTTATTCTGTTGCGCTCTTTCATAGAGCTGTGTGTCAAGTAGCGTTTTAAGAAGGTCCATCCTGCTTCCAGTGACACTGTCCGTGTGTGGGTATGTCAGTTCAGCTGTTCAGATCTCTGTGTGTGACTTGTTTAACAGTATTTCTACTTGCAGGGCCCTGCACTGGAAGACTTCAGCCATCTCCCTCCAGAGCAAAGACGCAAGAAACTGCAGCAGAGAATCGATGAACTGAACAGAGAACTACAGAAGGAAACAGACCAAAAGTGAATGCATTTTCTTTGGACCTTTGTCATGGTTCCCTCTCTGTCCATTTCTTTTGACATCCTCTACCTACACCAACAGCGCGCAGAAGCTAGGAATGAATATACTAGTCCAGGCTATTAAGAGGCATTTTTTTAGTTCATGGTCTTGTATGTAGGTTCCCGTGTTAGCATTGTTTCCTTCTCCTTCACTGTAATATACATTTTCATCCTAATGTTGCACAGGAAACCTTAGAGCTAAATGCATGCAGTAAAAAAACCCCAGTTCACAGGTCTGTTGAACAAGAGAGCTGCAACTGAGTGCATTAGGAACATTACAAATATTTCGGAAGTTGTAACAAACAGTATAGGAAACAGCATTGAGACTGGATAGGGAAGAATCGACAGGTGGAGTCCCTGCGTGCTTGTGCAGAAGAATGGCAGGCAAAGCGCTAAGATGACAAAAGGATTTAGGCATGGGATGGGGAGCAGCAGTTCCTCATGTTTGCGCTTAGTATCTAATCACGGGTCAAGATCTCGTACACATAAAGATGATTTTAGCCATAATGAGCCAGTATTGATGTATGTAATTTTTGTAATTATTGTTGGGTTTTTTATGTTTTTTAGAGATGCCCTCATCAAGATGAAGGATGTTTATGAGAAAAATCCCCAGATGGGTGATCCAGTTAGTTTGCAACCAAAATTAACAGAGACCATGAGCAACATGGACCGTCTTCGAATGGAAATACACAAGAATGAGGTTAGACCCTAAAACAGTTCCTTGGAAAATGTAAATAAGTGGTAAAAATGTAGTTTGCCTTACAGGTTATAACTCAAGTAGTTTTCCTGAGTGCTAATGTTCAAGAAAGCAATCCTGATAAAATTTTTGATGGGGTACCATATTTTGAAGCATGTTCATCTAGCTAGAATAAGGATGTACATTATTAAACATGTAAACTACTTAGAAGAATGTCTAATTAATAACATGTTGTCGTGGTTTAGAAGACAGGGGAAA